AAATAAACGAACAAGAAGTAAAAATCAGTCAATACGCGGATGATACTACCCTTTATTTTAGATCGATCGCCCGCCTCTCTAACAACCTCCTTACAAATATTAGACTTTTTCAGCGAGATTTCTGGTCTCCGATTAAATAGCAAGAAAACTGAAGCTTTGTGGATCGGTGCGAATATTCGAAACGAAACACATCTCAGACCCGACAAAGATTTTAAATAGGTAAAAGATAAGGTTAAGGCTCTAGGCGTATGGCTCTCCACCAACCCCAAAACCACTATAGAAGCTAATTACAACGAAAAACTAACCAAAATCAGAAACAGCTTAAGCTGCTGGGAACTGCGCCGTTTAACCTTATTAGGAAAAATTACAGTTTTAGAAAGCCTTATTGCCTCTCAACTGGTTTACATCCTGTCCCTCTGCCGTCCAACCACAGCGCTCTAACAGAAATAAATAATATGTTCTTCAATTTTGTATGGGATGGCAAGGGAGACAAGGTAAAGCACAACATAATGATCAACGACTACGAGAACGGAGGGTTAAGGATGATTGATATCAAAATTTTCAACAAAGCTCTTAAATCAAGTTGGGTAAAAAAATATCTAGATCCGGAAAATCAAGGAAAATGGAAACTTTTGTTTGACTATGAATTACAAAATCTAGGTGGTGTCGAATTTTTTCGTACCAACCTTAATAAACAAGATCTGTTAAAAACTATAAAAACTGCAGAGGCCTTTACTTCAGAAATACTCCACATCTGGTCAGAAATCTCACTTGAAACTAATTTCTCCTCCATTGATCAGCTAAAGGCGCAAAGTCTATGGCATAACTCTCTTATACGTGTCGGTAACAAACCTGTATACTATCGTTCATGGTCTGTAAAGGGAGTTAAAACAGTGGGCCATTTGATGAATGATGCGAATAGTTTCCTATCTTTCTCTGATTTTAAAGAGCTTTACGACATTAAAACAAACTTCCTTACTTTTCAAGGCATCTTATCAGCTGTTAAGGCCTTACAAAAAAGCAATGAAGCTAACTTCAACAGCTGTAATACTGCATACGAAACTACCTTCGACACCTTCCTAAAGACGACAAAACCAAAAAGACTAACATATAAAATTCTGACGAGCAACAGAATGCATGCTCGAAACACCAGATAATGTCGACTGGAAGGCAGTTTACAGAACTCCTTTTCTGTGCACAAAAATCACAAAATTGATTGTTTTTCAATTTAAGCTACTGCACAGAAGACTAGCCACCAACACTTTTCTTACCAAGGTAAACCTTAGGGACAATGAGCAGTGCACTTTTTGTAAAAGTGAGAAAGAGACTCTCATCCACCTATTTTGGACTTGTGATATATCCAACCGTTTCTGGCAAGGTCTTAAACAATGGATAATTTACCTTGGAGAACCTTTCGCAGAAATTTTCAATCTATCGCCATTTATAGTACTAGGGCTTAAGCCACACAAAAACAAGAAACTAAACTTCCTTTTTGTGGTCACTAGATATTTTGTATGGATATGCAGAATGCGCAACATCTCTCCGGAAATAAAAACTTCCCCCTCTTCTTCTCACATTATAATGCATAAATCATTATTATAAGAAAAACCATGCTTAAAACAAGCACAACACGCATTAACTTAGTGTTTTCTTTAATTCTGTTTACATATAATTTGATGTTTGTATCCTTTTTTCCTGCACTTTTTTGTTTTCTTTTAAACTACCTTCTTTTCTATAAATTGTGAGTAGTGCACTCTGGCTGTAAACGCTTTTTTTGTTTTTTTCTTTTCTTTTCTTTTAATATATTGTTATTTGTTTAGTCGCTCTTCAACCAGTATTGTTTTAAATATTGTATTGCACTGTAACGTACGTATTTGTAAAAAACCAAAAACGTAAGTAATGTAGCTATAGATGTAACTGTACTGTAAGTTATTTTCTGTAGCCGTGATATAAGTAATATAGCTGTAATTAAAGTAATATAGTTGTTTTTGTATTAAAAAATAAATTAAAAAATTTATAAAAAATAAATAAAAATATTGTGACAGTCAGATTTTAAAAAAAAATATTTACCCTGATTTTCCATTTTTTTTTTCAACAAATTCTAGAAAAACAGGGTAAAATCTAAGAATGCATCCTCCAAATTGAAGAGATCCCAAGTTGCCATATTCAATCTTCAACCCGATTCTCCATTTTTTTTCAATGAATTCTAGAGAAACGGGATTAATTCTGCGAATTCATCGGCAAGTGGCTAACACGTTAAGTTCCCATATGCCATCTTTACCCCGATTTACCATTTGATCAGTGAATTCGAGAAAAACGGGGTAAATTCTGAGCATTCATGTTACAAGTGAATAATACCCGAAGTTCCCATATGCTATCTTTACCCCGAATTTCCATTTTTTTCAGTGAATTTGGCAAAAAACGGGGTAAAATCTGAGAATTCATCCTCCAAATAAAAAGGATCCCAAGTTACCATATCCAATCTTTAACCCGATTTTCCATTTTTTTTCAACGAATTCTAGAAAAACGGGATAAATTCTACGAATTCATCCGCAAGTGGCCAACACGCTAAGTTCCCATATGCCATCTTTACTCAGATTTTCCATTTGATCAGCGAATTCTAGAAAAACGGGGTAAATTCTGTGAAATTCATTCTTTAGGTGGAATATATCCTACTGACTTGCCATAGCCAACTTTACCCCGATTTTCGATTGGATCATTGTGTGAATTTGTCATAAACGGGGTAAATTATGACAATTCCACCCAAACGTGCAATAAATCCAACAATGATCTAGAAACAGTAAAAAAAAAAGAACAGCTAAAATCAGCGGGACCGCAATAAAATCACATCACAATCTACTACTTCAAATTTTTACGGAGGGCTTAGTGCGATACAGCAAAAACCTACAATATTTAAAATAAACAACCAAAGGCCAAACTTCTGTGATTCAAGGAAGACTTCGTGACGCGACGCAGACAAATTATCACAACTTTGACCTCTCAGTTGATCTCACCTCCAGCAGATCAGCGAAGCGTCAAAAATATATAATTTCATGCCGACGAACCATAATCTATGATCTTCAGCTATTAAACAAAATAAAACAATTGTGATATGACACCACATTGTGCTTTTGTCTTAGCTTGTGTGTAAAATGTTGTCAATAGAGTCGCAAGTCGAACAATGAGGACAGTAAATAAAGCAAGACTGCAAATAAAGCGTGAACAATAACGCATCTTTTGGTCGAAAGTCGCTTTGTTATTTACGTAGCGAGTTATTCTTCCACGTTTAGGCTATAACAACGATATGCGATCACACGGCGCCAACGAAGGAACGATAGAACTTCAAAGAAAATAATGTGAGAGGCCAATGATCCGGTTCGCAGTGATCATGCGAACAGCATGTTTTCCTGAGATCAGTTACCGGAAAATACTGGTCAAATTTTCCACTTATCCCGACCCCCTCGAATAAGTACTTTTGCTTGAAGACATAACTACAACGGAGTCTCTTAACCAGTCCCAAGCCGCGTGTCGCTCGATAGATCACAGGATATGATTGGCCACTCTATCACATTACGTCAGAGGACATATCTGCAATGAGAGGACATAAGTGCAACGGTACAACTGTACTAGGGGCCAAGCAGATGAAAGACCTTCAGGCATTTAAAACAGACTCGTGGGCAAAGTGAGTGACTTCAGTACAATTACATCTCAAGATGAAACTTGTCATGGTATGCTTTTTCCTTTTTTTAATATGATCTGAAGGTTAATTTGATAATTAATGTCATCGACTCGCCTGGTGCAGGAAACACATTGTTTACATTTCGTAGCGTGTACTATTTCTGGTAGTTGACAAGATGGAAAATTTCACGGGCACAGGACTTTACAAATTGGGGATAACACTTAGGTGATGTATTGCAAGATTATAGGCTGCTGTCTTTCATCATGAGCTTTTTTCTCGTTCCAATGTTTATGGAGAATCCTCTGTAAATTTGATACAGTTGAACTATCAATTTTTGTTGCCATATTTCCTAGGCAGTTTGCCCATCAAACCAAAGATTCTAGTCCTGAAAGATACTTTTTGCTTTTACTTTGTTTGCATTGGTATTCAGCTTCAAGTCCACTTGTAAGAAAGCTTCTTCCATTGTAAATGTAAATATAATGTAACATAACTTAACATACATGTAACAATCTTGTTTATTCCTTATTTAGCTTCAGTTCTCTTGTTGGTTTTGCAATGCAGGCATGAAAACAGTTCCAGTTGATAGTGCGGAATCTTACTTTGAAAGTTCTACACTTGACATTTCTGCTTTATAAAAGATGCCACAAATAAACATAGACCCCAAGGTCCATTTTTTTAAAAATTAAATGCAATATAAAGCAGTCAAACTTTCATCTCTTTTAGTTCAATTTTGTTTGCTCAACACTTACAAGCTAAAGTTTGTCTTCATGTTTTTGTTCTTGTTTTTGTGTGTTTTCTTTTTTCGTGGTTTAGTTTGGAAGTGGAAATAGCTATGGGCATTTTACAAATTAAAATTATAAAAATTGAATGAGAAGGGCTATGAGGCATTTTGTGGAAGAGTGCTTTTCTTAATCAATGGAATATATTGTGTTACAGTATAATCTAACCAACAGGAAAACAGTACAATCCTACAAACTCAACTACTTTATTAAACAACAAGTGATAATTATTCTTAATAAGGAGCGACTCTTAGAGGCAGTTCAGTACTTATGCTCAATGAATTTCGAATCCCTAAGTCTGCTACAGTCTATATCTTAGCTCACCACTGAGCCAAATTCACAGTTTCCCCATTGTTTCTTGAAATTAGTAATCATCCACTGAAGCTCTGATGAAATGTTCTGGAAAGTTCTATGGTAAGCATGTTAGCATGACTAAGCAGTCTGGAGTTTTCTAGAAGCTTGTATTTACAACAGCAGTTACTCATAACAACAGTCATATTTTGTTAAAACATACTTCTTTGTCCTCAGGTCCAGCTAGGTCAGGGACAGAACCCTTTAATTTTTTCCCTGGTCCTTCATTTGATCCACAAGGATCCTCATCTACTGAGGTATATGGGCCCAGCTTCCTCCTGTCACATTGAGTATGGTGCAGCCAGTGTCTAAGATATCAATCACTGAGCTGATGAAACTCACCTTGAAAATGGGGTTGGAGTGTAATTTTGAGACTGTTGCGAATATGGGACCAAGCCATAGGAGAATGTTTGTAATGTGTTGTATTGTGGGAGATATCATAGCTCAGGGATCAGGGTGTGGGAAAAAAACAAGGCCAAGCATGAGGCAGCCAGGATGGCATTGAATAAGCTCAAAGAATCTCAACTTTATGTTGACTTTGTTAAATGTAAGTTTTTGGACCTGACTTTTCAATTTAAGTTTCTTGATTTGTTGCTGCCCTGTAAAACCCTTTTCAGTGTAACATCAGTATGCATATTCTTCATGCCATTCTCTACATGTTTCCTAACATGTAGAGAATGGCATGAAGAATATGCATACTGATGTTACACTGAAAAGGGTTTGACAAATAATTAAGAGCTTCTTGATTCAGGAGTGATATTTTAAGGAGAAATTAGATATTAGGCACTCTTAGGGGTCAATGGTTGACCACATTCCTCTTTTCAATCATTCAAGCCTCTTTTATATAATTGCTCAAGTTGTTGGCAATATTGCTATGGATGTTTCTTTTCTTGGTTTGGGATTACTGGAGGAGCATTCTGTTATCTGGGTCTTCCACTAACACTTAAAGCTCCAAGCCAAGATGAGTATTTTTGTAGTTGCTGTTTCTTTCGGTCTTTAGACACATAGTTCCTGAGAGGAAATACTTTCATACTATGTAAGTTTAGATAGTGATCTTTATATCTATTCTTTTAAAGCAAGATAACACCTACCCAATAAGTTTGAGTATTCTGATTAACTGTTTGCTGGATGATGTATTTATATTGTAGGGATAAGGCGGATGTTAATCACTTCTGGGAGTTAAAGGATTAAAGGAAAATTCAGTGTTCTCTATAATTCTGTCATAATTATAATTTTTCCACAACAGCAATGGACAACATCTGGTCTTGCGCCACATAATAACCCCATAAGTCATCTGCAAGAGCTAGTTGTTAAAAATGGAATGCAAAGACCAGAATTTGAGTGATCTGATGGAGACGGCCCCCCCTCATCAAAGGACTTTTGAGACAACAGTAACAGTGGGAAACTTACTATGTACTGGTAAAGGCAGATCTAAAAAGGAATCCAGGCATAAAGCTGCAGAAGCCATGCTCAACTTCTTTAATGAAACCTTGATCTATCATTGGAGCCACCACAAAAGAGGATGGCATTCATTCCTGCTGGAGTCCCTATTTCGTTTTTACCTGCGGGCACCTTATAGGGAAGATGGCTTGTCATATTTCCATGAAGGGCAGCGAAATCAGGAGCCTGTTATAACAGCTTTATCTTCCCATAACAGTAACAGGAAAAGCATATTTTGTTAGAAGTATTCCTGCAGTTTCGATCTGGGAAGCCGTAAGCATAAGCTACAATACAAAAGCAATGCTAAGAAAAAAATGAGAAGTCACTTGTTGGAAGAATGTATTTTTAGTATCGTCTACACACAACAAAGAGCAGAAAATCTGCACAGGGTGAAGAATAACACTCATCAGTCATTTTTGTTATCTTAAAAAAGGGATGTGATTATTTGTTACAATGAACTTTAACAATAACTCTGATTTATCTCATAATTTAGTCACAACAGATATGGATTGCATTGTGATTAATGCTTTTATGTAAGTGTACTTCTAGTCTTTTGTAAACAGTGATTCATTCAGGAAGTGACTGCATTATTAGACAAAAGATAACACTAACTTTTACATCACATCTTCCTTGTTAACCTTCTTAGGCAATGTGAACCATTTGATGAATTTCCATTTATTTAATCATAGGAAAAAGTTTCATCATGTTTGATAGATTTATTGAAAGCAAAGTAAAGAGAACTAAAATACTCTGTGCTTCATTATGTTTTAAAATATGTTTATTTCAATAGGGAGCCAAACAACAACCAGTTTTACAATAAAAAGAGTCTCTGTTCCTTTATATTTGAAACTATCCCTGTCTGATGAAACGACTGATTTTCGTGCACCTGACAGAAATTTCATTTACTGTATGTTATCGTTCACTATAACAGTGATTAAATAATGTAATTTTTCTCTCTAGCTTTTTCCAGTAACAAATGTCCATAACTGAAGTGAAAGTAAAGTAGAGTCCATGGTCTCGATCCTTCATGTTACAGGAAGTATCAAGAAAGATGCCAATTGAGTTTTAAATTCCCTTTAAAGAAGAAAAGAGTACAGTCCTACAGTTCTCTTCTCTCAAGTGTAAAGCCAACCAGAACTTCAGGAGCAAGAGATAATGGCATGAATCAATATTTTAAGCAACCATTCAAGATACTTGTGAACCTTTCTGTTTGAAAGCATACAGTAACTGTGAAAGAAATTTGATTTCTCTTGGGATAGAGAGGGATCAAATATTTTCATGGATGTCAATAAGTAAAGGAATGAATATTCACATATAAATAAAATTTCATGAAATATCTCATTTGCTCAGTAGTAGACAAATGTTCTTTGGCCAATTAAATTTTCAAAGAATTTGCCAGGCTCTCATCAATGCCAGCTTTACATGCACAATGTAAAAAGCACTAAGCTGCTGAACCATAGAAGTAAGCTAAACAGCCCTAAATTAGCTGAAGAAAGTCACATGATGGAAGACAACAACCACTCAAGTGGGGTAAGTTTGTTTTCATTTTTTCAGGTGGAGAGGTTCAGTGTGTATTCCCATACAAATCCTTACATTTCACCCATTGTGCAACATAACCATATTGCAGAATAATGATCATAGCTTATTTTGTAACCTAGGGCAATCAGACATGTGAGGTCATATTTTACTTGTCCAAGTGGAAAATTTATGGCCATCCCAGACATTCCAATGGCTCAAGTGTCCTTCCCTCTTTTAGGCCGAAGTTTCTCACAATACACCTACATGCATCTAAATTATTTATAAAATTCATAGTCAAGGAAAAATTTCATGCTCCAGTGTCTTGAGAGCTATGCTTATGCTGTCATTTGATGTCATAAAGGGTGACAGGTTAGTGTGCCTAGCATGATAGAATTTCTCCCTTGTGTATACCTTGAGGACTTTGGAGATCCTGCTCCTGAGAGAAACTTTTATTATGCTGTTCAGGTGATAGGTTTCTGTGAAAAGTGAAGAGCACCGTGTAAATAGAGATGACATTTAAAGTGAAAACACTCCCCACATTGATAGCAGCTAAAACTAGCATTTGTATCAACATGTTTGCCTTCATGAACTTGGAGATGGCCTTTCTGTTTAAAATTCTTGCCACACTGAATGCATGTGAAAGGTTTCTCCACTGAGTGAGTTGTAAAATGCTGCTGGAGGTGACTTTTCAAGCGGAACTTCATTCCACATTGATCACATGCAAATGGTCTCTCTCCTGTATGTATGCTTTGATGTGCCTGAAGATGTACCTTCTGCTTAAAACTTTTTCCACATTGTTCACATTTAAATGGCCTTTCTCCTCCATGTACTACCCTGAGATGAATCTGCAGTGTGTCTGGATGGTGAAAATTCTTATAACACCTTACACATGCTGTACTCTTGTCTGATAAATGTGTTATTTCATGTCTAAGGAGACCTCCTTTTTGTGTGAACTGCTTGTCACAATGCTTACACTTGAAAGGTCTCTCTCCTGTATGTATTCTATAGTGTCTGTGAAGATTTCTGGAGTAACTGAAGCATTTTCCACAATAGCTGCATGCAAATGGCTTCACTCCAGTATGTGTCCTTTTGTGGTTTTGAAGGTCCCACTTGAGACTAAAGGTGCGGTCACACTGGTTACATGCATAAGGTCTCTCTCCTAAATGAACCATCGTGGTGTGTCTTCTCAGAGTTCCTGCTTCACTAAAGGTCTTTCCACACTCTTTACACAAATGAGCCTTTTTACTTGTATGTCTTCTTCTGTGCTTGTAAAGACTACTGTTACTGCTAAAGTTCTTTGGGCACTGATCGCATTTAAAGGTCTTCTCCCCAATTGGAGTACTCTGTTCCTCCTGTTTATTGTTCTTTTCATCTTGACGTGTGTGTAAATCTTTTTCTCCTTCTTCAGCACCATCCATAGTTGATACATCTAAAAGTTTTGAAGGGACCTCTCTTCGATAGAAAGACACTTTAAAGTAAAGAATGATTGATTGAGAGACTGATCGTGTTCGATCAATTGAAAAATTATTCTTATAAACATTTGTTTTCGCAAAGAAATTAACCGAATGAGTAGGGATCGGGGCGTTCAACTACCACACGTTCAGTTAAAATCGTGAAGACGTCTTCCGCCATAGAAGCCGCATATTCAATGGAGGAAAATAATGCTTCCTTTCAATCAGATCGTGCTTTCCAAATTACGCATAAAGCCTTCCGATGTTAATGTTTATCAATTTAATTCCGTCTCGGACTGTTAACTGATCAAAAGTAAGTCTACCTGAGTCTCTTCTAGATAAGTTCTTTGGCACCTTACCTGAAGCAAAAGCAGATCAATAACTGTCTTTCTGGAGGTGCGTATGTTTAACTGGGAACAGCGACACCATTACGGAGTACTAGCATCCAGACTACGCTCCTCCTCGGCTAATATTAGAATGGCCTGGACTTTTTTCCTGTCAGTACTTGGATTCCGGACTTGAGTTTAAGATTACCTATGTTATGCGAAAACAAAGTAATTCCGTTTTTTCATCAGCGTAATACGAACGAAAAAAAAAGCTATTATGATAAAAGTTATTTTGGATCAAGAGAACATCGCATGTCAGTCTTGGGTAGAGCCACTCTGAGGCTAATACGTTTCATCCACGGGTATTAAACTTTGTTGCACGTCAAGGTAAATTAGAATTCCTCATCCTTTTATACTCAATTTGAAAACGTTTGATTAAGTTTCTCAACTGTTTATTAATTACCTCGACCACACTATCGCCGTCGAAGACAACGCACAATTACATCTTTGTACTTATTAAAAGATTGCAGCGAACAAGGCCCAAGCAATCAATAATTAGTCATAAATCTCATTTTTTTTACAGATGCAGTCTCGTGACCCTGAGATTAAACCAGAAATGAAAGACGAGTACGAGAAAAAAGTGGAGAGCAAATGATGATTATATAAACGATTGCTCTCGGGAACTACTCTAGCAAGATAGTCGGATAACGATGAATTTTTCAACAATAGCT